TTGCATAATTCAGTGAATGGTGGGGTGTGTTAGGAAAGGTTCAGCCTGACATCATGCACGACCCCGCAGGCAGGGACTAATTTAGGAGTCTGATGTTGACTGAGTGCCTTTCCTATCGTGCCCATCCATGGCCATTATGGAGAGAAACAGGGCTCTGGAAACAGAGTAACTAGAATTTAAATCCCAGATGTCATTTCTTAGCTGGATGACCTTGAGGAGTGAGTTGGTCTCTGAACCTCCAGAGTCATAAAACAGGGATAATAATACTTCAGAGTTGCTGGGAAGCACCAGGAATAGCAATGAGCACACGGCCAGTTCTCAACAAATGCTAGTAGAAACAAACGTCGAATGCCTACCATGTACTGACACTGTGCAGATATGAAAGAAAAGCTAACACTATTCGCGTAGCAGAGGCATTATTATAGCATTTTTTATATAAAAGCTCCCCAAGTTTCAAGCTGTTAAGCAGCCAAGCCAGCAATCATCCAAGTTTTTCTTGGGACTGCAGCCTCAGCCAGCACTTCTGCAAAGTTCTCTGGGCAGCAAGCCCTGGGGTGAGAAACTGGGCCAGCCTGCTATATGAATATCTTCTTGGTCTGAAGCCAGGTGGGCCAAGCCTAGAAGGCTAGGTTTTTGCCAGGTGTTGAGCAGCATGACCTAGACAGTCTGAGGTAGCTGTTTTCTTGTGGCACAAGTTAGATGGGCTGGCACTTGCCTCTAATCCAAACTCACCAACCCAGGGCTGCTTCCATGCCTGCTGACAAGGGGCTTGTCTCTCACCTCTGCATGACTCTAAAAAACAGTCACTATGATCCAAATGCCAGCCAGGGTCAGAGCCCCATGAGAGAAGACTGAGAGAACCACCCCCTACCCAGGCATCATTTGACTTCTAAATGAGGCACCAATCCCTAGGAAGGAATAACTAGCAACAGGGCATACTTGAAAGGCCAAGGAAGCAGTGTGGAAATTAAATAAGACTGATGGAATTCAAGAAAGGGGCAAGACCACTTGGGGCTGAGGCAGCTTGTCTATAACCATCAAAGAGGCTATCTAGGTCATAAACTCAAAAACCTACAAGATTTGGGAATGTGAAATTAGAATGAGTGACATAGGCTTGTATCACAAAATAGGGGACGGTGGGGGCAACCTTTGACTTGGGGCTGCAGACCCTTGTGATACAGTTGGCCCATAGGAATGTTTGCTTATTCTCTTCTAAGTTCAACTGATATCATTCAAGAGAGAACTTGAAAACTATATAATTCCTGCCAAATCCTCCTAGGGGTCTTGGAGGTGGGGAGATGGTTGAGGAATACAAAAAACGGCCATGTGATCTAACAGAGCTTCCATCTATTTAAGAAGTTTTCAGGAATCATTCTTGCTGGTCTTATAGTAAGCTTTAACTGTGATTTTTCCTCATAATTGCTGTGAGACAGACACTGGAAATCATATGACTTACCAGGTAGACTTCCCATTTTGTTAGGTCAGAGCCAAATATTTGGCTCATTTAGTGCAAATGTATGTCTTTATGGTTCTCATTTTATATTAGCCTCATTTCCCTTTCTCAAGTATCTTTTAATATACATCATTCTTTTTTTTTCCTGTAAGAATGTCTCATTATTAATAATATATACAAAACAACTTACTGGAATTGCTACTTCATCTATCTTCATTACGAGTCATTTCAGCTCTAGTTTCCTGACTTACATAAGATGATTTCTACAGTTCACACTATTTTTGGAGAACAATTTTTAAAAAGAGCAATTAGTGTTTCAGAATTATTTAAAACAAAATAAATAAAAAACTCTGTCACCAGCATCACTGTATTATAGTTTATCCTCAACAAAGTCTAGGGTTTATTTTCACATTAGAAGAGCAACTTCTAATTACAGCATTACAGGTGAAAAAAGTTCCTGGACATTATTCTAAAAGAGAAACCACAAGGATAATCATGGTTGTAGTCTCTATTAGGGAAATTAATGCTGGGGTTAATCTAAATTGAATTAAATCACTTTTCTTTCCTCAATCCTAGCCTCATTCTTTTTTTTTTTTCCTGATTCAACTGTTAAATCTATATAAATACCAAACCACAAACACACAAAGCTACTTCTAATTACAGCATTACAGGTGAAAAAAGTTCCTGGACACCTGTAATGAAACAAGTCACTTTACACTTGATCCAGACCAAATGCTTTGCTTTCGGCTAAAGGCAAGTTTTACAGAGCAAAGGGCAGGTTGAGATTGTGTACTAATCTTCATTCCTCCCAAACATCTTACCATAAACATAAGCCAAGGTTACAATGACCGTTTCTCCAAGGTGCACTTTATTGTTCACTACCAACAGTTCTTACTTCTGAGGGGAGAGAACGTAAAAAAACAAAAACCAGTGTACTCTAACTGATGCTTTACCTATGGTTTTGAAATGGACATATAATAGCAAATCCATTTATAACTCTACGATATTATGTTTAAGATATATACATATAGTTGAAATGCATTCTTAGGCCAGAACCTGGTCAGAATTACTTGGACAAAATGTTTATCACCCACAAACCTTCACTCCGATTAAACTTTAGGTTGGATTCACTGTCTCTATGGTGTTTGGTTTGTGAGACAATGTTTTCCTTCTCATACTTTTATTTTCTTATCCCTGTGCAGGCTGGCCGACAGCCAAGTCCCCTGCATACATCAGCCACTAAGCATGCTCTGGTGTAGTCTAGCCATTTTTGGTCTTGCTGTCCTGAGGGCTGTGCAAACCAGTTGAATCCAACTTTGCCTCAATCACAAGCAGGCAGGGCATTTCAAGGATCATAAATTTAAAATTTGCCAACCTAAGATCAACTTACAGGATTTAAAGTCCGTTGAAATTGTGAAAAGATAGCTTGGCTGCTGAGTGTGTGTCATTTTCCTATGTTTGCACATACACTAATGGGGTACTAAACGAGGAAATCCAATCTGAACAGAAACGATCTCCTGCCAGTTCTACGAATGACATACTTGTGGCAGACTAGAAGACAGGAAGAAGCAGTATTTTTCTTAGATATTTGAAATACAACTTTATTCTGATTCTAAACAAAAAGGAATGGGAATGACAATAACAAACAAGATTTCACCACTGAATACCGTGGTGACCTTAGCAGTCTTATTTGAAACTCAGTAAAGAAACTGCGTTCCAAAACAACTAAATATGCGGGTCCAAAATATGAAGGTATTTTTTTAACTGCCACGTTCACTTTGAAGCCCATTCATCTTCTTCAGCACCCCAAAGACTAAGCACATGTTCTGCTTAGCTACATAATAAGTGGCAAACATGCTGCACCACTGACATCACAGGACAGTTACCTATATAACTAGACTTCTGACACTGGGCTCCAGCTTCACTCTCACAGGCTGTCATCCTCATCCAGCAGAGCAATTGTCTGAATGACCTCTAGATCATGCTCATATTGTGCTGCTTAATAAGTTTGGGTTCATGACAATCTCTGGAAGGGAA